CACTTCTCCTCATCTCCTGTCATTGCCCCCACCACCGAGGGCAATGACAGATCTCCTCCCACCGCGGCCACGAGCTCTGCTCTTTCGCCCGCCCAGGCAACACACTCCCCGAGTGTGTGCTGGGTGGTGTCATGCTCGTGGCCGCAATGATGGCACCGTGCCGTGCGCTCTTTTCCTATCCGTTTCAGGTACTCACCGAAACAACCGTGTCCGGTGAGTACCTGTGTCATGTGGAATGACACCCCTCCTTTGGCCCTGTCTAGCCAATCCTCTAGACAGGGCCATATAGCCCCGACGGTGCGCTGGCCCGGCAGAGTTGGGTCTGCCAGGCTATCCTTCCACTTTTGGATTAGCGCCCGTCGGGTGTGGACCCTCAGTGTACGCCGAATTCCCTCCGTTACTACGATGCCCGCCCGCTGATACTCCCGTGTACGTTTGTACACGTCCGCATACATGCGGGCGAGCATCTCCACCGGGGGCACTCCGGATAGTACCCCCGTCGCCGTCCAGCTCACTGTACGGTAGCCCCTACAGATCCGGTTGGCCACCCGCTTTTGCACCTGCCTGAGTGCATTTCTTGGTCCGCGGGTGGCCTCCAGTCTCTCGACCCAAACTGGGGCCCCGTACAGGAGCATGGCGTGAATCGCTCCGGCGTACAGCCTTCTCACACTCCCGCCCGGCCCCCCAAGGTTGGGCAGCAGGCGTTGTAGAGCCATTGCTGCCCGTTCTACCTTGGAGGAAATTTGGCGGAAGTGTTCCTTGAAGGTCCACTTGCTGTCGAGGTGTAGGCCCAGGTATTTTAGACTGGACCCCACCTCGACCGGGGTGTCCTCCACACGGATATGGGTCCTCGGCGGCGCCCCCCGAGAGCCATCATGAAGAAAGATGGCCTCGGTTTTTTGGGGCGCTACCTTGAGACCCATTTGCCTTACCAAGCGCACGACACGGTTTACCGCAAGGTTTGCTCGAGCGGTCGCTTCTCCCCACGAGTTCCCCCCAGCCATCACCAGTGTGTCGTCTGCGTAACACACAGTGTGACAGCCAGGGGGGAGGGCCTGCCGAAGAACGGCGTCATACGCGAGGTTCCAGAGTAGGGGCCCAAGTATCGACCCCTGTGGAACCCCGCATGACATCTGACGCCTCTGTTCTTCGGCATTCCTATCTGCATAGGCCAACTGCCTGTCCCGAAAATAATGCGCCAGGATCGACACCAGGTACTGGGGGACCCCGTGATAATTTAGGGCCGCCCCAACCCGGTGCCATGGCAGGGTGTTGAAAGCATTGGATATATTCAATGATACCGCCATCAACACCCCGCCTTTCTCCGTTATGGCCCCCGAGATCGAACGAACCCGCAGAATTGCGTCTATTGTGGATCGTCCGACCCGGAAGCCATATTGATCCTGACTAAGATCCGGTCCATTTCGGGACAAATGGTAGACGAGGCGGTCCGCTATTATCCTTTCCAGGATTTTACCCGCCTCGTCTATCAGGCAAATTGGCCTATACGCCGAGGGAGAGTCCCTCGGCTTGCCCTCTTTGGAAAGGAGGACTACTTTTGCCTCCTTCCACTCTCGTGGGAAATGACCCATGCGGAGGCATTCGTTGTACATCCTCCGCATGGGTCCAGCTAGACCCCGATAGGCGAGAGCCCATATTTTCCCGTGGACGCCATCAGGACCCGGAGCTTTCTCGGGTTTTATCTTCCTAATGGCGTCCCGTAGCTCTCCCTCTGTGACCCCATGGCCTCCTCGTCCCACTCCCACTCCCGCTCAGGAATTGGGCCAGGAGGACCCTCTTCCCGCGGGAAGAGAGTGTCAACGATTCGGCCGACAAATTGGGGGTCCAAGGACTCCGTGATGGGGGCGCCCCCTTTCTTCAGTTTTTTCATAACAATACGATATGGGCGCCCCCACGGGTCCTCGTCCAGAGTGGAGAGCAACTCCTCCCAGGCTCTCGCCTTCGCCTTCCTTATCAAGACGCGCAGTTCATCTCGCCTCTCTTTGTAAATATCCCACGCGTCCTGATATCTCTCGGGGTCTGACCGCTCGAGTCTCTTTCTTTTCCTCATCCACCTCCTTGCCTGGTCGGAGGAGCGCCTCGCCTCTGCGATCTCCTCCGACCACCAGTATGCTTTCCGGGGGGATTCCTTTTAGTTTTGGGCATGGCCGCGTCGCAAGCATCCTTGATTGTCTGCAGCAGCCATGCCCTTTCCTCCTCCTGGTCCCCCCCGGTTTCCTCCCCGCGAATGATCAGGGCCACCTCGACCGCGGCCTGGAACGCGTCTTGATCCAGTTTCCTGAGGGTCCACCTTCGAGAAGCAGATTCTCTCTCCCGGCGGCGCTCTATCACCTCGCGGGGGAAGGCGCTGACGGAGAATCCTATGTATCTGTGATCAGATAGGGTTTCTATCCCCGTCAGCACCTCCCACCCGCTCACCAGTCCCGAGGCAGGGGGAGTAACCCACGTTAAGTCGATGATCGACTCCCCCTGCCTCCTAACACATGTGGACTTCCTCCCCCTATTGCAGAGGAGGAGCCCACATCGCGCCGCCCAATCCAAAACTTGATCACCCCGCCAGTCGCCGCGCGGGGAGCCCCAAGCGCGAGCTTTGGCGTTGAAGTCCCCGGCGACAACCAAAGGGGCGGGGTGATACTTCGTAATCTGCCTCTCTATGGCGTGCAATCTCCCGCAGAAGTCTCCTCTACTGAGACTCGGCGGGAGATACACGCCAATCACTATGGTGGACCCCCACTTAACAGTAACTGTGCCCCCCCCCCGACTCTAATGGTTCTATCGGAGGAGAGTTTGACGCGTTCCTTTGGGTAATCGCAGCAGAGCCATCTTCACTCCCTATCCACCTGTCTAGCACCTTGTGTGGCTCCGCTACGATCCCCAGGCCGCAGTCCCTCTCCGCCATGGTTTGTTCGAAGAGGTTCTGGGCCGGCCCTGAATGATTCAAGTTGGCCTGCAATATTTTACAGGCCATCCCGTTTTGCTGCTACTTCCGCGGGCCCCGCTGTGTCCATCGCAGCGGGGTCTTCCTCCTTCAAATTTTCCTGCAGCCTTTTCCTCTTGCTGCCTCCTTCCGCGGGGAGCTTTTTGCTTAGAGCAAAAATATATGCTTTGCGGGTGGATGGTAAAAAGAACACTAAAAAGGCAAAAGGTACCAAAAGTAACGTCGTAGCGCGTAGTATAACATTCAACAATTATACGCGCTGCCCTAACGACGAGATTCAAATGACGCGTCAGCAGTCATGTATAAGATCGAAATTGCATAAAGTGTATACCATCAGCGAGACAAAAATTGCTCTAAGTCCCTATGACGACAAGCAATATGTCGTACCTGAGTCGACCGACACCTTAGCGTGGGGACATTATCGAATACCGCTGTAAATTATATTTATTATAATTATTTTATTTATTATATTTATTATATTTTAAGGATGTAGTAATAAGGGTTATATTGTTTTTGTTATATATTTTATATATTTCATATATGTTGAATAAAATATGAGGTACATTAAATAACATTGTTTTTATGTATCCAAGAGTTGTGCGAACTGTCGAATCCCAGCCATTTCACGTAAACCTCGTCACCCCTCCTGCGCAGTATTTTTTCTACGAGGTACACATCCGGATAATTTGCGCGTGCAACGCGTGCTCGTAAAACGCTCCAGCGATAGATGTCTTGCAATAATTCTCGAGTAGATAGCTTACGGGATTATATATGAATACGGGATTATGAAGTACTTTTTAAGTTATAAATGTTTAAAGTTAACAATTTTTTGACATTAAATGTAAAAGATCTTGTAAAATATACAGTTTTCGGTGATCATAACTTAATACTTTTATGCACAAAATAATGAGACAAATCAATTGGTGTAAAAAACACATAGTTGCTTATGAAATATATGCAGCTGTATTTTGAATATATTTATTTAAATACACATATTATAACATTTTTTTAAAACAATTATCTGTTTTTTTATACCAGTTAATTGATCTTATTATTCCGCGCAAAAAAGTATTAAGGTATAATTACCTGTTCGATGTGGAATTGTATTGTGGAGTGGACTGTAATTATAATAAATCTGAATAACGAGAATTGGATTCTATATCACTGGTATTGCTTACAATTAAACACCTTACAATTTTATTGAGAATGGTACAACTGTGCTGATCGTAAGACACCGAGCGGTCTGTGATTTCAACAATGCGTCACAATGGCACAAAGCGACCGATCTCGTTGAAGCACACGACCTTAGAACATATAGATATGGAAGGGGAATAGGAGCGCAAAACTGTGTCCAAGTTGGGTGCGAGAGAGAACCACGTTTTTAAGGAAAGAGAAGGGTAGATTGTTACCTCCGTTCGCAATGCGCAAACGCGAATTAGCGAAAGCACCAATTACATTTCCAGTTTCAAACGGCGCGTGACGTCACCGTGACGTCATCTACGTTTGCGCATTGCAAGCATAGGTTAAAAGCTATCTTTCTCTCTCGCACCCAACCTGGACACAGATTTTTACCATGGAGGTGTGAGGAAATTGTACGCCGGGACGATACACGCCATGCTCCTGTACGGGGCCCCTGTATGGTCAAAATGCCTGGAGGCTGCCCGCGGCCCAAAGAACGCACTGAGACAAGTGCAGAAGCGGGTAGTCAACAGGATATGCAGGGGCTACCATACAGTGAGCTGGACGGCAGCGGGGGTGCTCTCCGGAGTACCCCCTGTGGAGATGCTCGCCCGCATGTATGCGGAAGTATACACACGCACACGTGCGTACCAGCGGGCGGGCATCACATTGACGGAGAGTCTCCGGCGTGCCGTGAGGGTCCACTCTCGGCGGGCGCTGATCCAAAATTGGAAGGATAGCCTGGCAAATCCAACATTGCCGGGACAGCGCACCGTCGGGGCCATACGGCCCTGTCTAGAAAACTGGCTAGACAGAGCCAAAGGTGGGGTATCCTACCACATGATGCAGGTGCTCACCGGACATGGCTGTTTCGGTGAGTACCTGCACAAGATTAGCAAAGAGCGCACGACGTGGTGCCATCACTGTGGCCACGAGCGCGACACCGCCCAGCATACACTCGCTGAGTGTGTTGCCTGGGCGGGGGAGAGAGAGAGGCTCGTGGCCGCGGTGGGGAGGGATCTGTCATTGCCCTCGGTAGTGAGGGCAATGACAGACAATGAGGACGCATGGAGGGCGTTCTCCTCCTTCTGCGACGAAGTCATGCTGCAGAAGGAGGAGGCGGAGAGGGAGAGAGAGAGAATGGGGGAGGAGAGAGAGGAGGAGGGCGGGGACGTCCCCCCTCTTTCCCCGGCGTCGGCGGGTCCGCCCGTTTGTGGCGCCGGGGATCGGAGAGGGGGCGCCCCTGGTGGGCGTGGAAGAGGGGGAAGGAGAGGAAGGAGAAACCAAACAGACGGGAGGGTGTGCCCCCTCTCCCTCCCCCGCCGTCGGCGGGTCCGCCCGCCGGGGGTGGTGGGGACCGGGGAGAAGTACAACCTCCGAAGGAGGAACGCACCCATGGGAGGAGGGGCCGGGCCCTCTCTTTCCGCGCCGTCGACGGGCTTGCCTGTTTGTGGCGGCGTGGATCGGGGGGGGGTCCGTCCCAAACATACCCGCGTCAATAATTGACGCGGGATGAGGGTTCCGGGGGGGGGGGGCGGGGACAACTAAGTCCCAAAGGCCTTTCCCCCCGGGAGCCTCACGCGGGCCGGGCGCGTGGGCGCGTCACTCCACTAAGGGGAGGCGCCCTGCGCACCCGGTTAGAGAAAACACTTTCGGCTGCGGCCAAATCCTAACTCCCAAAGGAGCGGAGAGAGCCGCAGCCGGGGGGGGCGAGGGGGGGCCACGTGTCCCCGGCGGGCGAGCATCGCCAGTCCGGCCGGGGCGCCTGGGTCCCCCTCTGTGAGGACGTGACGCGTGGGGCCCTCTCACCGGGAGCCATAAGGCACCCGGGGGGAGGGCAACGCCGTCCACGGAAGAGGGTTCCTCTCCTTCAGAGAGGAGCCCTCTGGTGAGGGCTCCCCTGGTAGAACGCCGAACCGGATCACTCTCTAGGGGATCTGGGGGTCGCGACTACCGGGGAGGGCGGGGGGCGATGGCTCGAGCGGGAGCTCTCGAGCCATGGCCCCGCCCCCCAAACTCTTTGGGAGGGCGCGGCGTGGGGTCGGTGTCGCCCTGCGCCGCAACCGGGACGAAACCGCGCAGTCATTGACTGCGCGGTCGGGGAGGGGTCTCGGCCGCAAGGCCTTGCGGCCGAAACCCCTCCCCGGAGATGGCTTGGCGGGGGGGCGGCGAGACGGCATGAGATTCCAGCATCCTCGCCGTCCCCTATCCAACGCCCGAGGTGGACACCCGCTAAGGTTTTAGTGCGGTAGGTCTTGGGCCCCCTCATCAGAGGCTAAATATGCGACCAAATCTGGTTGTTTAGACAACGTTTTAGATTAGCGTAAGTTCGCGCTCTGCGCCCCAGAAATTGGTTCCATTATCGCTTAATAAGAGGAAGGGTACTCCGCGTCTGGATAAAAATCTACGAAAGGCTGCTAAAAATTTGTAGTATAATCACTAACTAACTCTAAGTAAACTGCTCTGGTAGCTAAACATATAAATACTGCTATATTTACCTTGTAGGATTTTTTACCTCGACCGACTCTTGGTATTACCTATATCGGGCCGGCATAATCTACGCCGCAATGTTGAAAGGAACGAGCAGGAGTGATTCGCTCCGCAGAGAGGTCACACATGATTTGTTCAATTGATACAGCTCTATGTCATGTACAGGATACACATAAATGAATGTGATGCTTGACTAAGTTACGCGCTTTTAATATCCAAAAATTTTGTCGTAATACTCTAAGAGTTAATTGAAAGCCACCATGGAGTGCTCGCAAATGAGCATGCTCGATGACAAGCTCTGCTATTTTATAACGTGGTAATATGATTGGATGCTTTTCATCATAAGAAAGAGCTGAATGATGCAGGCGCCCACCTACTCGTAATAAACTTTGGGAATCCAGGAAGAAGTTAAGGTTTTTTACCTTACTGGTACGCGAGAGGTTTCTACCATTCTTAACACACTGGATTTCAGAAGGAAATTAAATCTCTTGTATGTGAGAAATCCAAAAGTATCTAGCTCGTTTTATATTATTACTTAACGTATTGCCAAGTTTGGGAAAAATCGAACTAAAGCGACCGATTCGCTGAAGGCTGCAAATTAAAAACCGACTGCAATACGCTGTAACTCGCAGTAATTTCGGCTAAGAAAAAATGGAGAACAGCAATTCCCATTCTGAATCTATCTTTCAGATTAAATGCGCAGGAGTAGTGCGACGCTTTGATGTAACGTCTATCATTAGTATTGACGGTTGCTTCGGCCAGAAGGCTGTGTGCTTGCTAAACCAGGGAGGTCCTGCCCACCATAACGCATTCTTTGAGTTGTCTGGCAAAAATACCACGGGAGGCACAATCAGCTGGGTTGTGCTTGGTATCTATAAATTTTCCAAACAATATTACGTCTAAAAACGGAACATAAGACATCTTAAAGATATCTTATTGACGTCTTAAAGATATATTTTAATATAATGTCTAAAATACATCTTAATAACTCATTTAAGACGTCTTATGTCCCGATTTTAGACGTTTTGTTATCTGGGTTCCATTTAACCAATGGGTTACGAGTTTGTACGTCAGCCACACGATTAGCTACAAATGACTTCCAACAAGAAGTGATTCAAAAGAGAACTACTATAGAGTCAAACCAACAATGTGGGGACTAGTGACAAATCCAAATTCTTATGAATATACTCCACAAGACATGAGAATAATGACGCTGCACACAGCTCTAAGCGTGGTATACTTACAATTAGTGGCTTGACAGGCGTCACCTTGGACTTAGCAATGAGAAGAGATACGTGTTGATCCAAAGGAGTAGTGGTACGAAAAATTACAGCAGCGGCATAAGCGCGATTAGATGCATCAGCAAACTCGTGCAATTCGTAACTTAGAATATCTGGGGATTGATGAGTCCAGCGTGGAACTAAAATTGCCGGCATCTCTTCTAAATTTTGATGAAAAGAAGCCCATATATCTAAAATATCAGGGGGAAGAGCAGTGTCCCAGTCAATATGTCGTAGCCACAGTTCTTGCAAAAGAATCTTTACTGTAACAATGACAGGGGTGACCCAGTCTAGTGGGTCGTAAAATTGTGAAATAATCGAAAGCATTATTTGTTTAGTTGAATGATCAGTATTAGGAGTCTGTAGTTTATACCTGAAATAGTCCAGTTTAGGATTCCACGAAATACCTAAAACTTTAACCAAGGGTTTCTCTTCTAAAGGAAAATTATTCAAACTAATACAATCCTCGTGGGGTAAGTCTTGTAGCAATTCATTGTAATTGGAAGTCCATTTTTGTAAATGAAAACCCCTCTGGTGTAGAAAAATCAATTGACGAGTTTTGAGAATAGTATAAGTATCATGAGCTCCAAACAGAACATCGTCAACATAGATAGATTCTATAAGATCGAGACCGCAAAAGGGTATTTAGTACCTTCATCATAAGACAATTGTCGTAAGACGTGCATAGCGAGGGAAGGTGCGGAATTAGTACCATACGTGACGATTAACAATCAATAATGATTGATCAGATAATTAGGAGAAGAGCGCCATAATATCCTCCAAAAATCAACATCATCAAGATGTACGTTAATCTGACGGAACATTTTTTGCAATATCAGCGGTAAATACTAGACGATGAGTACGCCATCGTATGATGACGGTGGGAAAATCTTCTGCAACTTGGGGCCAGGCAATGGAAAATTGTTTAATGATGATCCATTAGTATAGCGCAGAAAGCGTTAAAAACTACGCATAACGGGGAGGAGCTGCTTTCCTTTAAAACAGCATGATGTGGAATATATAAAGAAGAACGACGAAGGTCATCAGTCTGTGCAATCTCCATATGTCCAAATCTCTCATATTCAGTTAAAAAATCAGAATAAGCTTGCTTTAATTTAGAATCTCGGGATAGCCTCCGTTCTAATCTTTTTAACAAGCTGGAGGCTATCTAATAGGAATCTCCAATGTCATTAATAAAATTATTCTTAAAAAGTAGGCATACTACATACCGTTCACACGGTAAACGAGAGTAGGTAGCAACAAAGTGCTCCTCACATTATCTTCCTTCCTTCGTTAAAGAGTTGCCGACCGGCAGTTCTTCCACCTCCCAAAAATGTTTCAAAGTGTCTTGTACGTCAGAAGCAATACAATGTAAAGCTAAAGAGCCAGTATGATAAACAGAGCTAGCACTCGATATAAGGCCGGTGAGAATCCAACCGAAGATCGTATACTGTGCCACGGGAACATTCCAGTTATCATGCGTTGACCTTCCAATAGAATGGCACTATATAAATTTACACTGATTAACAGATCAATGGGGTCTCTACTGGAGGGATCCGGATTCGCTAATTGAAGTCCTTTCAAATGAGGATATTCTCGATCAGAGACCGGAGTAGTGTGAACATGGATGAGAACTTAGAATGAACTAGAGTAGTCACTGGAATTGTGCGACTTTTATCAATAACCAATATTAAAACTAATAAAACAGAGTAATTAGATACCCCTGCTATTTGATCTCCGAAACCAGTGATTTTGACTTATGTCCTTCTACGCTTGACCTTGAGCAATTAAGCGATCCTTTCGCTAATGAAAGTATCTTGAGAACCTGCATCAATCAACACGCGAATTTGGATTGAACGTCCATTGCAGGATTTGATTATCACTCTTGCTGTAGTAAGTCTAACGCAACTATTTACTTTGCTGTGATTATTTGAAGAAAAAATCTTAAAGAATTGGCTGGAAGAAAGTCTAGTGGGGGGAGACTCACTCATCGATTTAGTCGTCAAAGTACCTTCTATTGGTTTGATAACAAATGTGGTCTCTCTTTTATTGTCACCATCATAATAGAGTAGTCTATGATATTTTCGTTGGCAGGCACAACGCCCTTGACTGGAACAATCCCTCGATAAATGTCCTACGCGTAAACAATTAAAAGAGCACCGCTGTTGTTTTGCAAAATCACGATGCTTTTCCGCTGAAAGATATCTAAATTGAATACATTTTGACAGTGAATGCGCCGCATTGCATGATAAACATTTCGATTGAGAAACAGCAGATAAGTGGGAATTAGTAACATTCGAACAATTCAATTTTGAAGACAAAGTATTATTAGTGCTGCTTGATGCTTCCAAGGCTCAAATTCTGAGTGAAAGAAAATTGTTCAGCTCAATATAAGTCGGTTGCTGTGTAATATTGCCTAGACTCAACTCCCACTCTTTGCAAGTTCGAAAGTCTAGATTCTGTACAATAAAAAAAATCAACAAATTATCCCAGCTATTTACTGGTCTGTCAAGATTACGCAGTGCTGCCAGAGCATCGTTAATTGAGTCACGTATAGCCTTCAATGAATTAACAGTTTTATCGGAGAAAAATATGAAAAATAAGCGCTGTAAATAAGAAGAAATAGTAGCATACAGATTCTCATATCGCTCTCTCAAAATGGATCATGCAATTGTATAATTTGCAGTGATCGTCATATTCTTAACAAGCAGGTTTGCTTTATTAATGAGACTAGTTTTTAGATAATGTAATTGCTGTACATTAGTTAATTGGACGTTACTTGCTACCAGTGATTCGAATAAATCACGGAAGTTTGCCTATTCGGTATAACAGAAAATTTAGGCAATAAAATGCGAGGTAATTGAATAGACGTTTGACCGGAGTCGGTTACAATTGAGCTTTCACTCGGATTTGCGTTAACAGTAGCGATCGGCTTAGTAAAACTATCTGATACTCGCGCAAGGAAGTCCGATGCCGATAGGTAGGCCTCCTCAGTAGCAAGAAATTCTTCATCCACAAAGTACGATTCATTTTTTCAGTCCAGCTCGGTGGCGGTGGTCTCGATCCGGACATGAAGCTCCTGATATTTAATTCAGTGATCCTCCAATATGCGTATTTAATTCTGCACAACCGACAGATTGATGTTCTGCTCTCCAATCTTCTTATAATTTTTAATAGTACGAGTAATAAATCCATTAGTGAAGCACTGACTTGACAAATATTCCTCCATATTTAGAGGACACCCAGTAAATTCGCCAAAACAGTTCAGGAATGCGAGAGAAATAATAAGGAGCGTGCCTCTTCTCAATCATGTGTAGAAGAAAAGAACGTCGTGGGCAATTGTTATGCGTGCGATGTCCTTGAGTCGACATCAACAGTTGCTTTTTGCGATGCTCCGATTGCTTGAATTTATTATTCGAGCTGAGAATTCGGTTTGAACAATCAAGCTCCGAACAATTATCGAGACCAATAAACAATAGTTCTAAATTGTCGACGTAAAATAATTGAAACTCTGTAATTTCCCTTGCCTCTTAGAATACGTCCAGTCTCCCAAATGCGTCATTCAACTGTATGAACACTTATCACGTTCATCAATCCGACTGCACACGACAGGGTATCCGGCTCAAAATCTGTTCGTTGAAAAACGAGGCGTAGGAAAATTAGAATAGGGGAGGGGAGATATGTGAGGAGGATGTGGATTGGTATATAAAGTGGACTGTAATTATAATAAATCTGGATAACGAGGATCGGATTCTATATTACTGGTATTGCTACAATTAAACACCTTGCAATTTTATTGAGAATGGTAACTGCAGATCGCAAGACACCGAGCGGTCTGTGATTTCAACAATGCATCATAATGGCACGAAGCTTCTTGTTGAAGCGCACGACTATTCTGCTCGCTCCGAATTAACGGCGAAATCGCGATAAAATTACTGATATATGGGAGGGGAAATTCGCAAGTCGTCTCCCGATTAGTGATGCCATCACGACGAGCGACATGTAATTAATATATTGGAAAAGAGGTAGTTGAATTCCAAACATTACCGAAAACTGAATATTTTAGAAGATATTTTAAATTTTATGTCAAAAAATTGTTAACTTCAAACCTTTATAACTCAAAAAGTACGTAATAAAAAACACTTTATTATAGAGTTTTGGAAAACTCTTATGATAAGCTACAAGAATGTGCAATGAAAAATAGGGAGTTCTATTTAAGAAATTGACAGTGATCTTGACGTGACTTTCAAATAATTATTCAAAGTCAAATCAATGGCACGATCTTATGTGTCCCTCGAAACCTTACAATTTTTGTTTGAAACATTTTTTCGTATCTTTTAGACTTTACGAGATATTTTGATGCCAAAATTAAAATGGAACACCCTATATATTAATGTAAAGATTTATCGCATCTGTTTATTTTATAAATTATCATGTATGAACTTTTATACAGATACGTAGTTGAAAAGAAAATGACGGTAATGATTAAATGCAAGGATTTTATAATATAAAATATTAATATAAAAAATAATATAAAATAATATATGTATAATATAAAATAATAAAAAATTCTACGTTGAGAGACAGGTATAGATGTATTTGAAGAAAATATTATAGTATCACAGTGAATCTTGAAACAATACATAAGATGTCGCAGACCTACCGTATAACGTGTTAATGGCAGATTCTTGGGATCGTTTGGAGACGATTCTTCCTCTGTGAAATTGAGAGATATCAATAATTTTTTAAGAGTTTTAACAAGGCTCTGTAATATAAATATAAATTTAAAGATATAAGACAGGCAGTAAGAGCCAACTCGCGGATGACAGTGCGTTATCCTAACGAAACTAAATTTTTTCGTTAGGATTAAGTATCTGTGCACAAGGCACCAAATTTTACTTGGTCACGGCCAAGATTTAAAATATGAAATAATCTCATATTTGAGATTTAATTTCAATAACCCTTTCACCCCCCTACGGAAATAAGTAAATGCAAGAGAAAAATATAGATCCGAAAGTCGCTGAATCGGGAATCGAACCCGAGACCTTTCGCTTGCCGGGCGACTGCTCTTCCAACTGAGCTATTCAGATCTTTTCGATTCTATACTTTTCTCTGCTATATGTAATAATGTTGATAAACAAACGCGTTTAAGCCCGCGTGTATAAACTAAGAGTTTTAACAAGGCTCTGTAATATAAATATAAATTTAAAGGTATAAGACAGGCAGTAAGAGCCAACTCGCGGATGACAGTGCGTTATCCTAACGAAACTAAATTTTTTCGTTAGGATTAAGTATCTGTGCACAAGGCACCAAATTTTACTTGGTCACGGCCAAGATTTAAAATATGAAATAATCTCATATTTGAGATTTAATTTCAATAACTCTTTCACCCCCCTACATATAGCAGAGAAAAGTATAGAATCGAAAAGATGAATAGCTCAGTTGGAAGAGCAGTCGCCCGGCAAGCGAAAGGTCTCGGGTTCGATTCCCGATTCAGCGACTTTCGGATCTATATTTTTCTCTTGCATTTACTTATTTCCGTAGGGGGGTGAAAGGGTTATTGAAATTAAATCTCAAATATGAGATTATTTCATATTTTAAATCTTGGCCGTGACCAAGTAAAATTTGGTGCCTTGTGCACAGATACTTAATCCTAACGAAAAAATTTAGTTTCGTTAGGATAACGCACTGTCATCCGCGAGTTGGCTCTTACTGCCTGTCTTATACCTTTAAAAATAATTTTTTATTTATACACAATGAAAAATAAATATATCATTGTTTTAGCTCTAGTTTAAGTTATACGCGCGTAAACAGATAAAATGTGAGTTTTGCCAAATGGACCATCCCTCCTGATTTTTTACCTTTGATCTCATTTCGGGCAGCAATGATATATACCGGTTAAATTTGTGAGTACTTTTCAAAAATATGTACAATCTTCCAAAAAGCTTTTGTCACTTCGTGAGTATCTCTTACTACAAAGATACATGATGGCAAAAATTGAATATACAAAAAATGATGTTTCTTCTCTTGACATTTGCGCTGAAAAAAATCATCTCTGTATGATCCCCAGGAATCTGCCATTAACAAGTTACACGATAGGTCTGTGGGACATCTTGTACATATAATTAAAACAGAGTGCGACGGAAAAATGTATGTATTTTTGTATTTAAATCAGGTAAAGATGAACGTAGGACTATATCTGAAAAACCAACGCAACTTGCTCAACCTAATCAATACAATGGTCCTGCATTACCAAGGGATGTAAAGACTAATGTTGTCACGGATGCTACCACCAGAGCAGCTGCAGATTCTACTAAAAAAACATATTCCAGTAATCCAACGTACAGCAAAGGAAATACAGTTACTGATGAGGATTTAGAAAAACTCTCTGAAGCACTTTATATCAAAGAGACGAATAATGCAAATCAATATATAACAGTTAATCTACAAAAACGTACCACCAGTAGCAATCTGATGGATCAAGCTCCGCAGCCGTAAGAAAATTATATTCTCAATATATAGGGTGTCTAATTTTAATCGATTACCCCCAAAATATTTTTCATTTCTAATCGCACAACAAAATGTTTCAAACAAAAATTGTTTTAAACCATTGAAAATAATATATTCGGCTCGTATATAATGCAATGCAACATATAATGTGAATGACCAAATTAACGAGCAAAAATGGGTGTCAGAAATTAAATGACATAAATTTTATTCAGTCTATCTCTTTAATCAAGTGTAATTAATCTTAACGTTTTGACTACACAGAGCCTTCCTCAGTATAAAACAAAAATTGTGTTTAATAAATTGGCAAAGTTCATTCCGGTACTGAAGGACCGTTTGCACAGCGGAATGCATAACAACGTTGTATACAGGATTTCGTGTAATAATTGCGATGCGACTTACGTGGGACAAACGCGTATATTATTAAAGACGCGCATCGATGAACACCGCAATCACATAGCTAGGAATACCGGTCAACATTCGGTGATCACGGACCACAGGCTATTAAATCACGAGTTCACTTGGGATGAGGTGGAAATTTTGGATGAGCCGCGTGTTCGCGGTAAACGCTTGGTGTCCGAGATGATTTTTATAAAACGTCAATGGAACGGACTTCTTAATTTACTGAGACACGGAGACGCTACACCATGCGTTTTTAATATAGTTGATAATCTGCCGAAATTATAATTATTTCTAGTTTCAATGTATTTTATAATATAACAATTTTGCTTTAATTTATTTACATTATGTTGTTTATCTTACTTTGTTGATTTGACATTCTATATTTCTCTAAAATTATAAGTAAGACGTATATGATAATATAATGACCTGTTTTTTTTCAAAAGAATCCGTCGCGCAAGGTTTACAGCGATTATGACTCCCGTTTGCGACATGTTTGCAAAACTTTGTTTATATTTATTATGTTTACGTATTTCTTATTGTACTTCGGCACAAGAATAGGTTGCTGTTTTGCTCATTGTCTTGATTACCATTGCCGCAGAATGCGAGTGCTTATTTCTATTAGTATTGTTTCATTGAACAAAATACCGGAATAAAATACCGATATTTCTGACAGTGTTTGTACCTGCGACAATTTGCTTGCTGATACTGTTTTATCTAAGTATGTATAAATTTTGTCACGCTTTGTGTATTATAATAACATTAATTTACAAATTTCTTATTGTATTAATTTCTTAGATGCTGAAGATGATACGAACATAGAATCAAAACGTACGAATAAACGATTCAATTTATCATTATCATTATATGTTATGCGTATTAATAACCATGCCTGGCTCTTAATTAGCCCTGTATACCGCACTTCTTATTAATTATCGGAGCCTCTCACTATTCTTGGTTTAAAAATTGTTTTATTTGAAGAGAGACAGAAGCTGGCGCTACTGATTTTTTTATAGAGCGCGTTTCAGTTACTTGAAGATCATTTATGCTTTTTTTAAAAATAAAACTACTAGAATTTTTTTATTTAAATTTTATATTCTATAATATCTTATATAAATTTTTTATTATTTTATCCATAAAAGTATCCTTTTTTATAAAAAAAGATATGTAAAGTCGATTATCGCATGTATTGTTGCCGCTTTTCTGCGTTGCTGATTGGTTGTCTCGATTCGCATTATGTGTTATATTCATATCAAACAGCTGTCATTGCAAAGGTTAATAGTAATATATATTATTTTGACAGTTGTTCAAAATAATATATATTAAAACAAAGCACATAAAATTAATGGCGCGCGCGAAGCGCGCGCTTGTGTTTAGTTGAAATAAAATCGTCGAAAAATGTGAATATAAATAAATAACCTTTATGTGCACTCATTATCAGTGAGCTTCAAATAACTTTGAAAATAATTGCAAAAGAAGTCAGTAGCATCAACTTCTTTCTCTCTTCAAATTAAATAACTTTTTACTCGGTTTAATTGATGAAATTTCACTTGAAAAGGACCACAACCAAATGGTCGAAACGTCGTGAAATAATCAAATAAAATTGCTAGTTACGTCGTAGTCAAGTCGTTTAAGCTAAATAACTTTTATTTGAAACATTTTGTTGTACAATCAAAATTGAAAAAGTTTTTGAAGATAATCGTTTGTACATTTTGTATAATAAAACATTTATTATTTGAAATCTTCATATATGTATAATAAAATATAGTTATAAAATAAAATTAAATTATATTGAAGTATAAGTATAAAATAAGTAAGTAAGGTATTTAAAGCAAAAAGGTTTTCAATAAGTTAGTACCAACATTGTGATATACGAATTAGATACAAATATTATACTAATTTTTGCAAGTTATATTTTTTAATCTATTAAATTGTCATTTTTACAGGCTATTGACAATAAGTTCCGAAGCTCTCCAAATTCCTACGGTTCAAAGGGTGCTCTCCATATTCGATAATTATCAATTAGATACTCATACAAATGAATATATTAATCCAACACAAAGACAAGAAGAAAGTTTCCTTCTTGACACTTTTTTGAGTACAAACGTAATGTCCACTGCTATGCGTTTTCTCGCAGATAAAGGGTTTATAAGGCGAGATTATTATGAGTATAAAGATGCTTTAAGAAGACTTTGGTTCAATCTATTCTCACGTGGACAAGGTAAAATTGGTAGCACTGGGTTTGAACACGTCTTTATGGCAGAAACAAAACGAATAGATTCGGATACACAGGTACTTGGATTACATAATTGGATCTATTTTAATGCAGAAGAAATAAAGCAGCATACTAATTACTTAGGTTACATTAAAAAAACCGATTTAGGAAACGTAAGTAATTTTAGAATAAATTTTTCAATAAATATTTATACAATTTACCAATAATTTCAATATAAGAAAATCATATAAACGTAAACGTATTTTTTTTTGTAGAAGGGATCTATTATTAAAATGCATGTAAAATTCAATAATCACGATAAACCGGTCACGACCATATTCGTCGGAACTTCGCCTGAATTGGAAATGTCACTTTACACCGTTTGCTTTTATGCAAGGCCAGATGGAAATTGCCCTCTATCTCTGGGAGGCACCAAGTTTAATATAATAACACACAAATTTAGATATAGAGGAAAAGATTTAATTGGAACAGCATATCCAGAAATTTAAGATTTGAATTTTTGTGAATGTAAACATATCTAATTCATATATATATATATATATATATATATCCTAAAAAAATCATAAAAATGAAAAGGTCAGGCCATGTTCAAAAGAAGGCACTCAAAAATTTAAACGATCTAATAATAAATTATCACGAAAAGTAACTGATATGTTATTCAAGGTGCCAGTTCAAAGTGAACATACGTAAAGTGTATATTATCTAAATTTAGTAATAATATATTACCATGAAAAATAACTGTGATATTTTATTCAAGGTGCAAGTTCACATTGAACATACATACATATAAGTAAAACTGATTACAATTTGATTCTAGAAAATAAGTGCGATATGTTATTCTTAGTGCACAAAATATAATAGTCGTTTATAGAGATTTGATTTGAAATTCATACTAGCCCGTACAATGAAAAATAATTGCTCGTAATTCCAGAGTACCAATTTGTTAATTACTCAGAAAAAAACATGGCGGCCTGCTCTCAAAAACTATGATGTTTCTCGATGTCCATTTAGAAATAATGTCGAAGCTCTTACAGAATAATTACTACAACATTTGAAGTACGAAAAGTATTACATTAGAAGAAGATTAGATTAGAATAAGGATTCAACGTATTTTTAAAAGCTCTACACACAACGAAGTGAATATACAAAACTATTCAAATATATTTTTCTTCTTTGTTTATACACTTTACGTATGTTCACTTTGAACTGGCACCTTGAATAACATATCAGTTACTTTTCGTGATAATTTATTATTAGATCGTTTAAATTTTTGAGTGCCTTCTTTTGAACATGGCCTGACCTTTTCATTTTTATGATTTTTTTAGGATATCACTTACTTTTTAAAGTACAGATATATAGAGCAGCTTTCTATAATAGTAATTCATGTATAAATTAATAGTAATTCAAGTATCACAAATATATGTATTTTCGATTCTTATCACATAACTTTGTATAAGTAACAATTTATGCAATACAGTTCAAAATAATTGAAATATATGGTATATATGTACATATATAAAATATATAATTATATTATAGTATACATATATATTTTATTTAATCATATATGTAAATGTTTGTATAATTGTAATAACTTTTAACGATACATTGCACATTTATTTCAATTGCAACAGAATGAATTTATATTCTTGTATGAATATTGAAAATAAAGAATGGGCCCCTCCATCGCCCATTCTCGTGAGAACGCAACCATATATTTTTCTTCGTCTCTCCGATTTTAACACGACATACATATTTATGTCTGATAATTTTTTTCTTGATGATACTTTTTGAAATGTCATGAAGCCTAGGTCAAATTAGAAACTTATTGCACTCGTTTTAACGCAGCGCTTACAGCAGCTTTTATAAAGCGCCAGAGCAGCCGATATTTTATTTTGGCGCTTACGGCAACTTTTATACAGCGCTAGAACAGTTGATGTTTTAATGTAGCGTTTACGGCAGCCTTTATACAGCGCCAGAGCAGCCGATGTTTTATTTCGGCGCTTACGGCAGCCTTTATACAGCGCCAGAGCAGCCGATGTTTCATTTCGGCGCTTACGGCAGCCTTTATACAGCGCCATTATTTAATCTGTTCTAAGAACAATATGTATGCCCCTTGTGCTCCTTTGGGCCATTTTTTCTTGAACACTTCCATATCATTAGAATAATACCATTCCGATTTTGTGTCAGCTCTCAACATACACGTGTAGTGACCACGATTCATTTCTTCACCTTCGTGAAATATAGCGCTTATTACCTTGTACTTTTTTTCATTAATCGTGATATTACTCGTCGGCACGGCGTTAATCCGATTGTTGATAATTTTTTTAGAAGCACCGTTTACAAAAGTATATAAATTGAGCTGTATTACTACGACGGATAAAGTTGATTCGATTACGGTTTTCCTTTTCAACACGGTACCCTTACATTCGTTACAATTGCCGTTTATCGTTTCCCATTTAGAAAATTCTACATTAATCAAACTTTGTAGAGTGACACCTTTTTTCCTTTTTAATGTCGAATGTATAGGTAATATTAGCAAACTACTGCTTTCCAGCTTAGTTACATTGTAATTACATTTGACATTCGAGCAACATGTTACGTGCTTTAATTCGAGTTCTAATACATCATTGATGTCGGAATACGTCGACATTAGAGCCGTAAAAAATTCCGAAACATCTTGTTGTGTTCGTTCTTCGAAGCGTTTTCCGACAGATCTTCTAACCGCTTGAATGTTGCAATATTTACGTTCACCATACGCGCAGATAGCATCAGTCAATGCATTCGATGCTTTATTTTTCAGTATTTGTTGCCTAATACGTACGCAATGAAACGCACATTGTAATATTACATTAGCGTAACACGAAACAGCATCGTTATTGCAAAGGCCATATATTTTCCACGTAACTATACTTTCTGGTTCCTCACAATCATAATTCTGCACATCATCAATGATATTAGGGATAGCCCATCGACGATCGTACATTTTCACAACCTTTTTCTCGGACCGATTGATTTGTGGCAGTTCAGATTTGAATATAGATCTCAGTCGATTATATTCCACAATGGCTCTCGAGTTTGCTTTAACTGATGCTGGATTGAAATTTATCAAATGTAGGCCTTCCAATTTACTTACTCGTGACAAACCTACATAGGCTTGACCATCACTGAATACAGTCGTTCCTAAATCCATCATTGCATTGTTACATGTAATTCCTTGACTTTTGTGTATAGTTATTCCATAACTGAGAGACAATGGAAATTGTTTCCGATGTACCACTAATTTGTGGAATACTTCAAATTTAATATCTACTTTCGTTATTGCGATTTCTTTGTTACCCGAAATAACTATTTTGATGGAATCAATACGATTGCCGTCAGCAGAGCGATTAACTGCAACTACATTGCCTATCGTTCCATTGACAAGTCCCAAAGTTACGTCAATGTTTCGTCGAATCATCACTTTAGCGCCAATTTTAATCGCTATTACTCTTTCAATGCCAGCTGTTTCAGACACTTTATCATCTTTGTCTTCTAAAATTTTATGCACCTTTTTTTTCATTGCTGGAGCACAGTCGACATCATCTTCTGCTATCAGTAGAATTTCATCGCTGTCGATTTTATCGAGCATTGCTGTGTTCAAAACCTTGCACAAATAACACGTGGGCAATAAACAAATTGTATCAATCGGTAATTGATTCATATAAGTGCAAAGTTCATTCAATCTTTCGTCGCAACTACTTTCTTTAAAATTGATTCTTCTAGACTGAAGAACATTGATGTCAGAATCCGTTACTAAACCTATTCGTATTCTAGAAAGTATATCACGATATGTATTATCGCATCTTTGTCGCATATTAATCAAAAGTTCGTCGTACTCGAACAATCTCCACAAATCACATCCACCCATGGTACCTAAATACTTCTGAATCTCTGATCGAGACATTTTAACAAACGAAAATTGTCCTTTTACAGGAGGAAGCTGCAACAAGTCCCCAAACAGGAGAATGTGTTTTCTGCCAAAGAAACCATCATCTGTATCTGTCGTATCAAAGATTTCACATAATCGTAGATTGATAAACATAAGTGTCACATTTGAAATCATGGATACTTCATCGATTATAAATAATTCGACATTCTTTAACTTGTCTCTCAAAGTTTTCAAGACCATGTCTGACAATTGCGTATATTTTGGTGTAGATTCATGACTAACGGGTAGTTGAAACATTCTATGGATTGTCAAGCCATCGATATTGAATGCTGCGATACCCGTGGGAGCAGATATGGCAGTCGTTTTTTCCAAATTTATTCTGATCCAATGTTTAATCGTTTCAATTAGAAAACTTTTCCCTGTACCACCCTCGCCACTTACGTACAGTCGCAGAATCTGATTCTTATCTTGTAAAACTTGGCATACTCCATCAAAGACTCTTTTCTGGTCTTTGTTCAATTGCGACATCATTTGCGATAAATCAATCGGGTCGTCAATCTTACCAAAATCTTCCAGATCTTTCATCGCGTCGTCAGCTTCTATCGGATTACAATCCAGTTCATCGTCATCGGATTTGTCTCTGTCTGCTGTTTTCAGATCATTTTCGCGCTTCTCGATTAATTCAGCAACGTTCTCAAAAGCTTTCTGTATTTCTTCGAGCCTTTCGTGATATTTCATTGCCTTCGTTAAAACAGACTCTGAATTCTTAAAGGCATCCGTGTAAGTCTCGAATGTACCTTTGAGTTCACTCAAATCTCTCCATGGTTTGAACAGAAGAAGCAGCGAGTAAAAGTATTTTTCGGGCTCAGTTTTTATATTAAATCGATAATGGTTAATTAAATAACCCTTTTTTCGTTTTTTTAAAAATAAACCCGATGCCAGTTTGTAACACTTGACTTCGTCATTATTTGACATCTGTTTCGTAATTTCCCAGAATTTGGCAAAATCGTACAAATTTAATGATTCTAATTCCTGAGGTCTATTTGGATAGTAATCATCGATGAGTGACGAACAGTAAATATTCGTAGAATTTTCATCGAGAGCTTTAATTTCATTAAATGTTTTAACTTAGTCCCCGTGTCGCGGACTATCCACATGTGGATAGCGTTGCAGAAAATTATTATGAAAAAATAGTATAAATAAAATGATAACGTAACATAATAAAAGTATTTAATAAATATCAAAAAGTTGCAAATATCATTATATAAATATATATTTATAAAAGAATATGTTTATGATATACTAAACATGTGATATGCAATACTGCATATATGTAATTATATATAATATAAAAAAATATATCACATAATATACGAATACATCAGAATATTTAAAGTCTTCAAAGTGATGATAGTTCACATGATGTCAGATTTACCAAATGTTGACTTTGAACGAGATGTATATCAATTTATTGTAAGTAATGCAAAAAAACTTGAAGAGTTTATTTTTGACCAGCAGTTTTTCTCATTGAAATATTAATTCTTATATTTAGAGTAAAGCAAAAAAACTTGAAGAGTTTATTTTTGACCAGCAGTTT